TGTCTATTTACTTGTGACCACTCAGTGTACATTAAATTGCATGAAAATTGTCTCAATTTCCAATAAATTTGGACTTTACTTCAGCACGTCTATCTGTGTTTTACTTTAAAGTGTATGGATGTAGAATAACTTAAGTTTTCTTGTACTTTTTTGTTGTTTTAAAGATGTGAAATACTTCTTTAAAGTCTAGTTTCTTGAATTTAGAAGAAATGGTACTACCTTCCTTCACCCAAAGCTACCTCGATCCTGGTCTGCTCTCTAAGCATTGCTCAAAACAATTTCACTACAGCACACCAGTCTTTATACTCCATCACTTTTGCACCATTTCAGAACATGTGTTGATCATGTGACTATTCTCCACCAGTCATACTGCTCCATCTATACTGGTACAGTTATCTTCCTCAACTATTCTAGAACAATCCTCACTTTCTTGATTGGCATTCTAGTGTGTAAACGTGTGTTTCAACTCACTCTCCATATGACTACAAAATTTTGATTGTGCTTGTTTTCTGTATTCTAATTTGTTCATATGAATTCTAGATTTAATATGGAGGATGATGAAATTCCTGTGACAGTCGACAATGGTTCTGACATGAGTCCCCAGGTCTCAGGGTTGACAATGTCTGCTGGGAAAGTACAGGCTTTAGTTCGTAAGGAGTTCGTGTCTTACATTCAGCTGATGATTTCTTCCTTTCACATTACAATTTTTTTTTCTGAGGATGGATATAACTACTAAGTGGAAATTTCTTTCTAAAGCACCTTCCCCCTGTTAACATGCCTCCATGTGATCTCCTGTGTTAGGTATTGTTCTTTTTCCCAGGAGATTTGTGGTAAGTTTTTCAGCATGTATTCCTCACTCCAAGTAGGTATACCCATGTTTAGTGAGTTTATGTGTGGATTGATCTAATTTTCTCACTCGATAATTTAGGTCTATTGTGTGTTTTCTGCACAGTATTTAGTAAGTTAGCTTTTTATAATTCTTTTACCATCTAAGTTGTTTAGTTTACATTTGCATTTAGAGTTTGATTATTACTTTGTTTTTGTGTAATTTTTGGTATATGTACGGGTTTTGCATGATACTTACTGTTTGAGTAATTGTAACCTTGGCCAATTTTGTGGGTATGCTGGTTTGTTATTCATACTTCTTTTCACTTTTTATGCTAGTCAGTTTGTAAGTTCCTTTTTCTTTACTACTACTCACATCTAATTGGGGATCATATGACTGGTGGAAGGTTGCCATCTGCACAATGTTTCTTCACACCCAATTCATCATCTAACTATGTCTTTAGCCATTTGCCTTAACCGGCCTTTGAAGAAGATCATTCAGGCTGGGATGTGGGCAACTCCCAGTACATTTCTCACACATTATCTGCACGACTTGGCTGTGTCTTCCTCAGGCAGACATCATCTTCCTTCTGTGGTGATTCTACACACATCTGTTTGCCTTTGACTGGGGTAAGTTGAGATATTACTTTTCCTGTATATTTTTAGTTGGTACATATTGGTAATTGGTGTTGCATGGTCATGTTATAATTGCACCAGATATGAATACTCACATGAATTGTACTAGATATAACACTCACTGTTGAGATGGGGTGTTTCTGTAAGACTACTGGCAGCTTGTCCAGTGGTATGTGTATCTATATTTTTCTATACAAAAAGTTACTAGTTTCACTCATAGACCTCATGAGTAAAGCAGATTGGGATTTCTGCCCATCCCTACTAACTTGTGGTTCCTACAATGGGTGTCTGTCTGCTTTTCAAAATAAGGAATTGCAGACACCCATTGCACTGTCTCTGGTGTGTCATTCCTCCTGATTTCCCAATGTGTATTTCTCCCTCCTTCTCTTCTAGTGGAGCACAGGAGTCTTTACCACTTCCGGTTTTCAGTCGCTGGAGTGGTGGACTGTGTAGGTTTCCTCCTGAGTGGGTTTTGAAAAACAAAATAAAACTTTCTAGCCCATGTGTACCCACTCGGCGAGAAGAGAGCTATAGTTGTTATAATCATTACAGTACCGAAGAATGAATTATACAATAATATTCAGTATCCAGGGTGCTTCCCCTATATGTTTATGTCTGAGAAGACTGCACTTGTTGGTCATATATTTCTTATACAAGGTGCTTCTATTGAATGTTTTTTTTTTTGCCCACATGGGCCACACTTGGACTGATGCTATGTATCCAAGGTGCTTCATTCTGAGTATTGCCTGGGCAAACTGCACTTGTTGATATCTGTATCTTATACCAGGCATTTCCACTGGATGTTTTTGCCCAAATGTACCTCACTTGGCATAAGCTGACGTAACCCAAAGTGCTTCCCCTGGATGTTTTTTGTCTGGGCAGATTGCACTTGTTGATATTTATATCTTATGCAAGATACTTGGCCTATTCAAATACATTTCATGGTCTTAAGCTCTAGCCAAGTATGTGATTTCTTTTTTCTCTCAGACTCATTTATTGACACCATACTATGACTCACTATCACTATGTTTGGTACTACATCTTGTTTCTTATGATGGCTCATTATGACATAGATGTGGACAGAGGGCTAGTTATGATGACCCTCACAATTGCACTTATAACAGTAATTTATATCCTTCATAATTCTGTATATCTAAGGCACTTCCCCTGGATGTTTTTCCTGGCAGACTGCACTTGTTGATCTCTATATCTTATACAGGGCATTTCCACTGGATGTTTTGCCCTGATAGACTGCATTTGGCTTAATCTTATGTAATCCAAGGCACTTCACTTGACACATACCTATAAGGGAAAGTGGCTGAATACACACAAGCCTTTCCTTGTTTGTCAATGCCATACTGATTCATGTCATACTTATCCAGCACTTGATACATTGATTCAGTACTGTATGTCTCTTTGTGCCTGTCAATTCAATTCCACCACAACTGTGTTACTGTATTGATTGCTGGGCAAAGAGTACACCTGTTCCAGAAGTAGTGCTGTACCCTACTAGTGTGCTTTCTTTTCATATTCTAGCATACTCATTCCTTCAGTGCAGTCTCTTTCTGCTTGATTTGTGATTGATGCACTTTCACCAGCCCTCCACATTGGCAATGTGGGATTCTAGCTTTGGGTAAGTGTAGGTAGTACTATTTCAGTTGACATTTACTTACTCTAAAAGTGTATTTCCAATAGGTACTTACCTCTTTTCACCCACATCCCACCCTTCCTCCCCATTGAAGTGCTGGTGTGTATGGTTTGTGCCTGCCAATTCTCAAAAGTGAGGATTGTTCTAGAATAGCAGAGGGAGCTAGCTGTGCCAGTATAGATGGCAGAATATGATTAGTGGAGAGTAGTCACATGATCAGCACGTGTTCTGAAATGGTGCAAAAGTGATGGAGTATAAAAACTGGTGAACTGTAGCGAAATGTTTTTTAGTAATGCTTAGAATGCAGACCAGGATCAAGATAGCTTTGGGTGAGTGGATTAAGTACCTATCGGAAATACATTTTCAGAGTAAGAAAATGTTAATTTTTGGTCTAAATTGATTACCTTACAGTATCTGTCTATATGAACACAGTTTCCATGTCAGTAAGACACAGCAAAAGATATAAAGTAGGTACTAAATAGTTAATTCTGTTGAGACTAAAATTGATGTAAAACTGTTTAGTGATTTTGTCACCTTAGACAATTGCCAACTGAACTACCTGCTGAGCCAATCCATGACTATAAGTTTTGATTTACCTGAAATATACTGTGTTTCAATTGTTGGTAGGGTATAGATAATTTGACCTATAAAACTGAATGAATAATTTTTTTATTTTTTTAGTTTAGAACTTTGGAGATTGGTTATATCCAGAACAATCTTTCTTTTATCTTGGCTGAACTAAACCAGTATTTACAAAGAAGAGCTGAGAGAATGTATCCAGGTGAAGGAGAACCTGTGGTTGACCTCTTGAAGGATATTGATACATTTTTACACAAACAATTTGTTCATAAGGGCCACATTGATGATGATACAGAGGTGAGCTACAAAGAAGTCAAAAGACTGAAAAATCAAGGTGTTGAGTTTACACTACAAAAACAAACAGGTTCCAATAGCAATTGCTAAATAGTTTTTTTAATATCCATGATATGAAGGGTACAATTTAAGGCCTGTTTAATTTAATTTTTTTTTCTTTTGGTCTTTACATGGTCTAGAATGTTTATATAGGTTATGTAAAATGTTCAATTTCAAATTACTAAGTAATAGTTAACTTATTACTGTTTTGTTTCTTTTTTCATTTAGAAAATACAATTTTTTTTAAAGCATGTAACAAATTCCCAAGCAAAAATTGCTGAAAAAAAGGATTTAGTCTCATTAAACTTGGCTGTAATGGTTGGCACAGGAGTACACTGTAAAGGCATTTACACAGTAGTATAATTAAGGCATTTCACAGACACTAGTACCACAATAGCAAACTTACAATTATATGCATTTTTAGGATAGCTGGAGATTTTCTTTATTAAAGTACATCACAAGGGCCACCTTCGAAAAATATCAGATTAAAGGAATTAATTTAATAACATTATAAAATGCAAGTTTTTATGATATTATTAAATTAAAACTATAAGTTAGCATTATGCACATATTAGATTATTTGTTGGCATTAACTTACATTTTATGGGATTTACTTTTCATTAGCTGATACTGGACATTGTTTCTCGTCTACTGACATATCCGCACCTGATTCAGAAACAGTCAGTAAGTATAATCATTCGTAAATACACAACACCATGTAAAATAATCTAAAATATCAATATTATGTAACAACAAGTTTGTATGTAAAACTTTTGAACACCTTTATGTGTCTTCTTTAGTTCAAGTTTTGTTTGTAAAAGAAATAATGCTATTTTTATACACATGAGAAATCTTGATCATCAAAACAATTGGAAATCAGCCAAAATAATAAAGCTAGAAATTATGTCAAAAGAAGAATTGTTGAAAGCTTGCTAATCCACAGCTTGTCAAACTTTAACATCTCTGATGGGCACTTTAAACCGAACGTCTTATACCCTGAAATAACTTGAAACTATGAAAAAAAAGCGCTGTGTGTGTGTTTCTTTTCCAAACAATAATTGGACTGAAGAGGATGGTTGAAAATGTCGAAACATTTTTCCATATAAACCAGTTGTTCTGTAGTAGCGATCTTAACTTTATTTTAGAATCTGTAAGTTTTTAAAATACTGTATGAATTGCATTGAGGTGTTGTAAAATTATGCATGTTACCTAGATAGTTAAGAGTCATGTAACACTAATTCTAAAATATTTTAACAGCCTTACAATAGTTCAAATTGCTCAGCTAATAAAGTTTCAAGCTATTTCCCTTACACATATTTTTCATATTAGATATGATAAAAATGTATTCTTTTTAATACTTTTAGAGGCTTTCCAAGATTCATCAGCTAGTCTTAAATCGTGGTTTGATGACACCTGGTGATGTGCAACTTTTTCATAGAGATACCTTGGGTAAGTACAGTGGTAAAAAATACTAATATGAAAATTTTGTTTTAGTACTAGAAAGTCAGTAATTGATGAAAGAAGGTATAATAAGATTTATTTAGCTGAAAAGTTGACCATTTTTACCTCTGCTTACAATGATTTTAACCATTTTTGTATTTTTCTATTCTGTGAAGGATTTTCTGTTGTAACAGGTTATTTTCTCCTTTTTTACTTATGAATATCATTAAATAGTTAGCTTATGTAAGGATTTGTTCCCACAAACATCATTCTTTTATTACAATATCATCATGCTTTATAATGGATGTGGTAATAGTCCAAAGTAATTTGTAGCGTTAGTGAATGTCTAACTGTGGAATTAAAAAATGATATGTTTCAAAAAATATCTTGTAAAAACTAATTATCATCCAGCAGTTCTCATAAATAATCTTATAAATAAGTGGGACTTTTTAAAGCCTCAAGGAATAAAGCTTTCTTAGTTGAAGATGACTTCTTCTTTACCAAAATTTATATTTATATCTCCTAGTCTTATTGCCATTAAATATGAAATAGAAATGATGCTTCAACACAATCAATTCCCTTAATATTTTTAAACACCCCAATCAGATCCCCTCTAACTATTTTTTTATTCAAGAGAAAACAAGTTTAGAGATCTTACCCTATTCCCATATCATAACTTTTCCATCCTAGGTATCATTCTAGTAGCCCTACTCTGAACCACTTCCAACAATTCATTGTCCATTGTAAGGTAAGGAGCCCAAGACTGAGCACAATACTCCAAATGTGGCCTAACCAATGACCTATACAATGCCATTATAACCTCTTTAGACTTATATTTGTTATTTGTGTTGACATAACCTAAAATCCTATTTATCCTGAGATTAGCAACAACATATTGCTTGGATTGCTTCAGAGACTGCTCAACCAGAACATCAAAATCTTTTTTCTTCCATAACTCTGTTTAGGTTATTCCCATCAAACTTATACTTATATTGAAACTGTGATATTATATATGCATTACCTTACATTTACTATAATTAAAAGCCATCTGCCATTTATTCATCCAACTCACTAAATAATCCAAATCCATTTGTAAGGCAGTAGCATTCTCCTTATAGCCAACAAAACCCATCTATTTATTTTGTTTATTATTATATTTATACTTCTGTTCATCACAAAAGTTTCTTTTTTTAGTTCTTGAGAAGAAACAAGTGGTAGGGGGCGGTGTGCACATTCTTTCATTTCCCAATCTTGCAGCACCAAATGTGGATTTAACTCGGGAAGGTGGCTGGAGGTCTAAGTGGTTAAAAGACAAGTTGAACTTAACTGTTGACTTTGTTCAGTTTCTGCCAGGTTTGGAACTATTTGTGGATTTGTTTTAAAATGATTTTTTAATCTTTAAAAATGATTGATCAACTGACAGAATTTCAACTCTTTTATCCAAGCATTTCTGCTGATTGCTACTTAAATATTTATAACTATTACAAAACACTTTGAATGTTATACCTTTTATCAGCAAGTGATTGCTATAGATTTTTAGCTGTTAAGTGTTTAAGTTGAAAACAGACAGAAAGTACAGTGAGCTAAAACAAGTAATATGTGTACATATATTAAAAGACTGAAGACTTTTAGCACATAAATTTGTTGAAAATGAGTGAATGCTTCAATCAGATATAGTTTTTTTCTTATCTAAAAAGTGTAAAAAGATTTTATAAGTACATACACATGGAACAATATATGCCATCTAATACATCATTTCATTGTACTTATAAAATTGCTGAACAATTTTTAAAGTTGAAATTAATTACGACAAGTGCCATTCCAGAACAGATATGTCAAAACTTGAATTATATGGATGTTTTTTAGTTTTAATTTTTTGGAACAAATTTAATGCCTTTTATTTTTGTCAAATTCCAAGAAAGTTAATTGATATTTTGGTGTGCAGGGATGCAATCAAAGAGGGACTTTTTGGGGCTTAAACTATCACAACATGTGCCTTAGCCTTCCCTTTACCTACTGCACTCAATCAAAAGTGCTTACTCTTTAAGTTGGTTCACTTCTAAATACTACAGTATGTGTGCTAACAATATGTAGAGTGCAGCCCCCTCAGTTTTTTGCCTAGCTTATTCACTCACCAAGAAGGAGCTCCTCCCCCTAGAGGTATACATCTGTTTTTATGTTGTTTTATTTTTGCACATAATCCCAATTTTTCTTAATTATACCTAAAACTAGCATTAAAGTATTCAGATATGTATTTATATTGTTATTCATTAACTTGTTATTATTAATTTTTTCATGTATTTTTATCACTTTTAATTAACTTTAATATAAAAGCTACTTATTTTTGAATTAAGGTAGAAGGTAAACAATTTTTTAGTAAAAGCTATTGCAAAAGAATATTACATAAAAGTAAGATAACTAATGTGTTATTGCCACAGAATAAGCATTCATGGTTTTCCATATAGTGTTTAAGGTAGATTACTATTCTAAAAAAAATATCAACCAGCATCCTCTCATTTATATGCTAAGTTAATCTTATCAGCAACAAATAATGTTTGCAGATGATATTCTGGGCTACTTATAAGTGCCTAAAATATGAAATAAATGTAAATTTATTTAATTTGATTGTAATGTTGTGTTGAGTACCCCAGAAAGGGAAGGTTTAATTTTTGACTTTTGAAGAGCATGATTCAAGATGTTCTGGCTAATTGTTAAGATGGAGGACACTGGGCCTTTAAGAGGGGCTAATTTTACTGGAATAGCAGGCATAGAAAGCATGGTTTTAATTATGTAGTGCTCTAGCTGTTAGTGTAAACAGGCTGAACATGCAAGATTGTCTTAGATAAGTCTGATTGAAGTTAGAGACTGGTACGTGTATAATGCTGTTATGTTAAATTATGCTATTGGTCATGGAATATATATAGGAGATAAATGCTTACTGCTATGGTTTTAGACCAAGATCAAGTTTTTCTAAGCTAGGATCAGAATTCTAGTCACTATTAGTGCTTTAGTTACTAGTTACTACTCTTGTTCATTGAATGTATTTTGTGTTTATTTTAGTAAATTTCTTTAATTTTTAGGGCCATTCATCTTAAGGTAACTTAATTTTTATTCTGTTTTAATTAAACAGTATGGTTATTAATTTTATGAAATATATGTTCTCACACATTAAAACTATAAAATGTTTCTGTAAACTAAGTAAAATATAGTAAAAGTTTCTGCCTGTGTTAGTACAGCTTATTTAGTTTCAGGAATCAAAAATAAATTTCTATAGATTTTCTACAGTTCAAAAGGTAGCATGGAATTTTCTGTGGATTTTATTCATTAAAGTATATGAATTGTAGCAGCTTTGATAAAGTATTTGTTCTAAGTCTGATTATTTACTAAAGTAAATTATATTATGTTATATTTGTTACATCATTAAATTATTTATTGTTATATTTGCTATGTGAATGTTTATTGTATATCTTTTGTCAATAGAAAAAATATATAAGCCAGAAATCAACAATGAAAATTGATAATCAGTGTGTTAGCAAAATTACAGAATGTAGTATTGATATAAGAAATAACAAATAATTAATCTATCATTAGGTTACATAAAATATATTCAAAATATATATATGTGTGTTTTGGTTACTGAAATACTGTGTTAATGAAAAGTATCAACCTTAAAATATTAAAGTTTTAGTTCCTTATATTACTGAAAGATAAAGGTATGAATTGAAAGTAGTAACTTTAGTTTATACTGAGTTGTTTGAAGACTGATATATATATATATACATCATGAGATTTATTAACCATAATTTTGCCACTTTATAGACAGAGATATTATGTTGTTAACATGGTTAATAGCCTTTAAATGGTCACTAATTAAGTAATATTTTTAAAGTTAGTATTTTGTATTACTTTTTAACCCTATGTTTTGGCTGCAAATCTCCTCTCATCTTCTGAGGAACTCTGAGATATTCTGGTCATTAACTGACCAAATATAAACTTAAAGAACCTCTATGGTGTTGGAGAGAGTTAACTGAGAATTCAAGTTTCAACAAAACAAACTTTAAAAGAATGTTGATAATTGTATTTCATTTGTGAAAGTATGATTTAGGATTAATACTTAAAGAAAATACTGAATTGATTTATCAACATTTAGAGAATAATTTTATGTTATTTGTATGTTGTATGAATTATGAAGGGTTGAAAAATTCGGTATTATTTCAAACTTTAATAAGTGATATTAAATAATAGATCCTTTGAATTTGAAACCCTTGTAATTTTTTATCTACCAGTTTAAGCATCAAAATCTAATGTTTTAAATTTTTCCTAACAGTGAGAGAAAATGTAACCATAGCCACTGTTTTCTACAGAAACTTGTCATTATTTTTACCTCCAAGAATCCTAGCCAAAAGAGAGTAAGTCTACTTTTATACAAGTTGAAACATAAGCTATTTATGATTTGTTATTCCTCTTCAGTGTTCAGTACTAAATGTTTTGAGAGGATAATTTAATTTAATTAATAAAAAAATTAAGAGAAAGATGGTTCACATTTTAAGCTAGTCTATTTTTTATATAGTTAGTAATTTTACAATATAATGAAATATATAAAACTCAAAAAGATTTAATCTGTCATGCTGAGTATTGGAAGTTTGAATATTGTCTCCTTGTCATCATTCCATCTGGATGTCATAAAATATAATTTAACCAGCATTTTTCTGTTACAGATGTGAAGTCCACGCTATGGTAATATTGAAATTCATTTCAGATACCAAAACTAAAAATGTTGATTTGAATAATTAGCTAACTAGGTATTATATGGTGTATCATAAATGACTGATATAAAGAGAGATGATGCTACTCAGTGTTTAGCAGTGGAAAATGTGGCTGTATATTCTCCTTTATATCTCCTTATTTATTTCACTCTCTGAACAAGTGATATTCAGTGTTTAAAATATCATTGTACCCAAGGGCTACAAAATACTCACTTGTACCCCCTCTCAACATTGAGTCCCTAGATCATCCTTGGACATAAGTAACATCTCAATGAAAAGTATTTAGACTGTGCCAAATTTGCCTTATTTTTGATATTATTAGTACTGGATAACTTACACTCATGAAAAATTTTAAGTTTTCAAAAATAATATTTAGAACTTGTATAGTATTGTTACAATTGTTGCACTATCCTATTTTTTTCTTGCTTTTGTTTTTTTTAATTGACTTCATCCTCTTACTTCGTATTGTAATTACTCTTTGCAAAATGTTGGATCTCTAGAAATTTGAAACTTTTTTACTTAATATTTTACCTTGTTTAGTATAGCTTGCTGAAGATGGAATATGTACATTCCAAAAGATTCAAGAATCAAATGTTTGTTGTAGTTGCAGTCATTCTATTGTTCATCATTAAACTTGGATTCCCATAGAATGAATCTGTTGCTAATATTTATACATGGAACTGAAAACTGAATATATTTTCTGTAGATATTATCTTCATTTCATTGTAATCTGAATAACAGCCTTAATGCAGAAGTGTTTATAGTTTATTATATTGTAATCTGAATAATGGCCTTAGAAATGCATGAACAATTAAACCATTTTTGAACAGCTGTAATATTAAAACCATACTATTGTTAGACTTGAAGAATTAGTAATATTTCTTTATTTCAGATCAAAAAAAATGAAATTTTGTTAAATTTCTCACAGATCAGAAGACCTGGGGGTACATCAGCTTTATTCACGAGTAGTGGGCATAGCTATGATGGTGGGAAGGAATATCACTAAGCTCAAAGATGGTGCTGTAAAAATAAGATTAAGTTTACAGCCTAACGAGGAAACTGTGGTATGTATATTAATATTATTTAACGTAAAGAGTAAATAAAAGAAATGTCAGATATACAGTTTCTGTTCTTCTTTTGATTGTGCTGTGTAAATGAAGTGTCCAAGTTATGTGCAAATACTGCAAACTTTTCAGCAAAAGCACTGATTAATTCATACAGCTCTTTTGAAGAGAACATTTGTTGATAACTGTACTGTATTATACTATTTTAATTCTTGTTACTGATTAAACTAGTAATTTCAAAACAGATTTTTTTGCCTCAAGTTTATTTTCAATGCCCACTATATGAAACAAAATTATATCATTCTTTGATAGATTGTTTAGGCAGAGTATTCATGATGAAACCTAGTTGAATGGAGGGCAACTGCCTGTTATTTACGTCCTCTTACTTGTTTCTACAACAGGCAGTTGCTGTTTATTCAGCCAAGTTTCATTAAGATTATATCAGTGTTGATGGTCAGCATTGTGCATGTAACATTATTAAAAACATATTAAATAACTATAACATAATTCACTGTCAGTGGTGTAGGACGAAGTTACAAAGTGGGGTTGCTTGGCTAGACATACAGATTTTACAATGAGACATTGAAAGTATATGGGGATGCTAAAAGCAGCTCCCATGCTGTCAAAGGCAGTTTAATCTAAGGGGGTCTAGGAGCATGCCCCCCCCAGAAAACTAATATAATAATATAACTTACAGTTGCTATAAAAATCAAACATGTAAAAGTGGGGATTCCAATGCCTCTGGCTGTTAGAGATATGTACAAAAAGCCAAATGCTTACATGTACACAATGAAAATCAATATACTGTACTTTATGTTTTTAAAATGTCATATAAAGATTAAAAATCATTATTATATAATGTTTACAATTAGATATATAATTATAATGAACTTTTTTATGTACAGTATATCAGTACGTAGTTGGTCTTTTTCCTTGTTTCTCTTTATTTTTTCTTTGATAAAAGCTTCATGCATGATAAAGACATTACAAGATATTTTAACACATCCCTCAAGAGCCAAGGAGTGTCTTTACACTACAATTTGTTGAATATTAAAAGTAAGTTCAATCCAGAAACTCCCAAAGAGGGTGGTTTTGGACATATCTTTTCGAGACAAGTTTTTGTTTGTTAATTGATAAATTTTTAAGTGAAATACAACATCCTCATGTCTCCATACTAGTTGGTACTAAGGTCTACCCTCTGGGAGCAAATTCAGTATATATCAATAAAGCCACATTCTCAGCATCATTAATTAAGCAATTGTTAACCTTTTATGCTTCTGCTAACACCTTTTTATGTTTAGCTTTCAATTGAGGTACGAATGATTTCACCTGTGATGCGGTAGGGAAGGTCAAAGCATCACGATAGTTGGCAGTAGGATGAGCAGACAGGAACATTTGGAAAGCAGCTACAGGCATAATATTGTACTCGGCTTGCTGCACATTATCTACCGAGGTGGTTCTAAACAGTTCCTAAATACCTTTGCATGTCATTTGGAGACTTCCATGCTTCTTGTGCTTGGCCGTTAAGCTCATGATTTCAGTCACCTTACCACTCAGAATCACTTTTCACAGTTCCAATGCTAAAATAGTGCAGGAAATGTTTTCTTTTTAGCCAATAAACATGTCCAAAAAATTTCAGTTCATATTAAGAAAACCAGATTGGGTAGTTTTTTTTTCAACAAAAATGTCTCCCACTGGCTTATGAGGGGCTTGTTAAAAAACTTAAACCTTTTTTTTTCCTATAATGAAAAATAAGTGATAAAATGTCACAACAGGGCAGTAAAGATTCTTGGAAAATGTGCTTTGGAGAAATTTTACACACAAACTTCACTATTATCAACTGGAACAGCTCCATGATATATTTTATTTTTCTGGTGAGACCTTCCATCATCTATAACCTTACTGGAAACTGACTAGTTAAAAAAAAGCAATTAATAAACATGCACATTATACAGTTGTTATCAACAAAAAGCAAAAGAATTTATGTTAAAGAAAAAACATGTCTGAAAATCACCTGTTTTGGGGGACCAGTATGTTTTTTTTATCTTAATATAAAAAGAAGTTTCTATTGTGGTAATAGATATATTACCATATCATATTTCATATATATATACGTTAAGTAGGTAACATTGGATTATGTTCTCTAATATTAACTAGATATAAAAGACATTTGTAATCAGTTAGATTTATATGGTATGTATTATCATTACTTATACTTTTATATCTGAAACATATTAGTTTACTTTTATTTTTGATTAGAAAAGCTCAAATTACCTAAATACACATATTTATGTATCTTATTTTGTTATTTGTACATTTCTGGATAGACATAAGTTGTGCACATTTTTGAGATTTATTATTTTCCATTTATTATATCAAATGATATAAACACTGCTGTGCTTACAGGACTCGGCTCATATCCTGACATGTGGACGTATTGATTATTCACAAGAGTAAGTAGTAAAACTTAAGTTTTCATTCAGTTTTCACACCTTTCTTTCTCTTTAAGGAAACAAAACATTTACTATGACTAGTGTAATTATTCAGTTTGTATCAAAACTAAATCTTTTTTTATGTAAACCAGATATATGTGTTATCTGTCTGTCTTGGATGAAACTTTGCTCCATTTTTCAACATCATAAGGGGAAGTTCTTAGCAAAGTTTTATGACAGTTGCTTCTGTTATAAAGAAGTTTATTTAATGCATGCATCCACTGTTTTTAAGAAATAAGTCAATAACAGCTATATTTCATACTAAGATGAAAAATGTTATAAAATAGACCTTTTCTAAAATTAAAAAATAGTAGGACCTTATTTTATAACATTGTTTCTTAAATTGCTTCCTTAATGGAGAAATGTTGCTTCTTTTTAATAACTTACATTAATTTTGAACTTCAATTATTATCAACAAAATTTTTTTTTTTTAAATAAAACTTCTAAAATTGTGGTAAAGTGAGTAACGCACAATTTAATTGTGAGTCATCCTAGTTGAGAATCATTGTGATATTTCAGAAGAAAAGTTATTTTTTTCTGCTGGAGAATCCAAGCATATGATATGAATTGAAATGTCTTTCGTGTGGAGTTTGTTGCATACAATTTGCAGGAATTCTGTATTAACTTGATCTTTTTAAGTTACACAAGTATTTTTTTTACTTCAGTATGAGTATAAAGTAATCAAAAACATTGAAAATCACAAATGGCAAACACTGCCTAATGGAAAAGTGACTTATCATGGAGAAAGTCTGAAACTTTGAGGAAGAAATTGAAACATCAGAATGCAGGATTCAGAAAGAAAGAGCAAAAAAGAGATAGGCTTGCTCACCAAGTTATGATGCAAGATCCAGTGAGAAGAAGTCAGGAAAAAACCTGAAATACCAAATCACATCAAATTGCTTGCCATGATGCAATTAGAAGCAAGGAGCAATTTTATAACAGTAAAGCACACCGTTCAGCTCGTCAAAGACATGACCTAACAGCCGTCCATAGGGTGGCATTTTTGCTGGCTATATATAAGAGCTAACCGAGTGATTCATGATCCATTTGTTTGTACATAGAGGTGATAGGACATCATGTTAATGATATGAAGTTTTAATAGCAAAGAATTATATGTATGAAGAAGAACTTTGGTTTATGTTTCTATTAATAATATTTATATTATTCTTGTAATGTTTCTGTTAATATAGAACATTTCAGTATTTCCTTGATGGCTGTCATCGGGTTAGCATAGGAAAGCAGGTGGTGTGTCTTTGTGATCAGATTGGAACTTTCACCTTGTTGCTTTCATCAGCTCCAACAATGGTAGGTCTTAATATTTCTCGAGTAGTTGGAAATTCTATAAAAGTTTTTGTTTTCAATTATATAAAATTTTGTGTGATTGTATATTAGAATGGATGTTATAAGAACACAAATTAATTTAACAGTGTATTTTTAGGTAGAAAATAAATAAGCAACAGTAAGTTCTTGGTGTTCTGTTGTGAATGATTATTGGTCAGTTTTCTGAAATGATAACGCATTTCTGCACACAGAAAACTTACCTTCCTCCCATGTCTGTTTAAGAGACTTGCATGCCACTAGCCTTGAATCAGCAACTTCTACCTGATTTTAAATGTTTTAACATGAACTGTGCAGGTGCATGATGATGTCATCATGCTAAGTACAAGTCACCATCATTTGAGAATTCATGATAAAATTTAAAGCTTTTGAAGCAAAAGCCAAAAAAAAAACGAAAATCAAAGTTTTATTAACAATGCAAACCTAATAAAAAAAATTGAACTCAGACGAAAAATTTAAACATTTGTTCACTACAATGCTGAGGAGAAGAATGAAGTTATCATGAGTACATGTGTTTGGGGGAGTTACTGTGCATGGAGGGTATGCCGCCATCCCATTGGTGGTGGACTTTTATTGTTCTGTGCAAGTAACATTAATCACACACATGCCTTATTTGTCCTATAGCTTCTGGAGGCTTGTTAAATGTTGAGGACATTGTTCAGTGTGTTGTGGATTACCACATGCTTATTGGGTCTCCTACTCCCATCCCATCTGTTGGAAATGATCTGTTGGATTAGGAATTCCACCTGGTATGCTTTTGGTAGTGACTTAACATTCATAAACGACCTTAACCTTCTAATCTGTTTCTGGATTTCATTCTCAGGTACGTTCCTTTTCTTATCTTGTGCCTGTGTCCTTTATTATGTCTTGTTTTTTATTCCATGATCCACACTTCTTGGGGTATACCTTATCAATCCTCTTTGCTTGTTATCAGGATTTATACTATTACCTTTCTCTAATAGCTCCTCTCTCTCTCACACATTTAAATACCTCTTCTCCCTCACATTCGTAACTTTTTTTGCCCTTACTTGTAGACTTTCTTCCTTCCCATTTCTCGATTTCCTATTGTTTGCATCTATTTGGCCAACTTGGTGATCAAACCTCATACCTTTTATTTTAATCTCCATTCCACATTTTCACATTATCGTCTTTTTCTCACTATCATCCTGTATTCCCTTTTGTCTGAGGCACTTCACTATGCTGTAGATGGGTTTCTTGTGGACATTCATTCCCTTCTCTCTGCCAACTTAGCCTGTTCCACTTCTTCTGCTCTATCCTACCTCCTTCTTTTGTTCTCCTGATGTTTGGATTTGTTGAATTGGGTTACATTCCTCTTTATTGTACTCCTTCAGCTTCCTTTCTTTGTCTGGATGTCTTTAGTAGCGTGTTTTCCTCCTTGGTGACCTTGACTGATGTTATATGGCTTCAGTCTTCATTATCTTTCCAAGTTTTTCTTCTTTATCAACCTTGCCCTTTGCTTTTGTTCCTTGAATGGATTGGTCTACCCCTCATCTTCCAGTTCCAAGCCTTCCTTTTATTTTTATCCTCCCTCTACTAAATGTCTAATTCATTGCTCTCCTCATCAATTACTATCATGTTACATCCAGCCCTGTGGGTACCCATCTCTTCCTTTTCTCCTGCTGTTGGTTTCAATTTCTGCTGACAGTCATTTTTCATTTATCTGCCACTCTCTCTCCTCACTACTCTTTGCTTCTTTTTCCATTTTCTTTTCTCCTTCCAACCTTGTCTATGGTATTTTTCAACTGGTCTGCAGTTGATCATGTTCAATGTGTCAGACACCTTCATACACATCTCTCTTGACCCATTCTCTTTCTGTTTTCTATGTTCCATCCATTGGACTTGCACCTTCCATTTCCTTACTCTTCTGTTCTAAATGGCATTGGCCCACTTATATTCATTTGTATCAAGAGGGCCTTCCCTCGCCATATTCAAGGCCTGGGGTTGGCATTCTTTCTTTCCTTGGATGATTGGCCTCTTTTGACACATTCTCAGATAGTATCCTCTTATTACACATCCTTTTCTTTTACAGGAGGCTACTTGGCTGGAATGGCTTGTCATGAGATATATGTCTTTTCTCACACCCATTCAATATTTGGTACTTCTGGGTGTTTTCTTGGTCTCTTGTCTCAACTGAGTTCAGCCTTATCATCTTCTCCTGTGAGCTATGGCATATCAAGTCACCAAGATTTGTGCTTCACATTCTCATCTGGCACAAGGGGTTCTTTTACTTTTGGGTATTCTGGCTTTTCTGGAACCCCTCATTCCTTTGGGATATGTACATATGTGCGTCCTTCAGTGCACCTTGCTGATCGAAAGGATTTATTCCCGGATTCCATGAAAATTTAGGTGGGAGTTGCCTCTAAGGCTATTGGCCTACAGATCTCTTTGGC